TTTATTTAGCGGTGACTTGCAGCGCCCATGGAGCTGCACTGGGTCTCGAACTCGGACCTTGGCGAACTCCGCCCCTGACACACGCTCACACTCACACTCACTCACACTCACACTTACTCAATCGTTTCTTTTTTGGAGCGTGTAAAGTGATTTTTGTTCTGGTGTTGTTGATTTTCCCGAGCTAGTCCTGCTGCCGTGTGCCTTGCTTTCGTTCGGTTATTATTAGCTTCCACTGGGCTTCGTGTTCTTGGGATTCCTTCCTTCAGTTCCGTGCCATACCATGCCATGCCATTCCATTCCATGCCGTTTGCGTGTGCGTGTGCGTGTGTGTTTGTCCAAATTGCACAGGATTATGGGTCTTAATTTTATGATTGCTTCTTTAATCAGCCTCCGTAACTGCACGCCAATTACGTCCTGGTCCGTGCTAATTGTTTCTGTTTCTGTTTCTATTTCTATTTCTGTTTCAGCCTTCTGTTCTCGGTCGAAGCCAACCCCCGAGCCCCGCCCCTTTGGGGATGTGTGCCCCGTAATCGATGTGTGTTTTTCGCGATTAGCCGAGCACCAAATGAGCTGGACGCGGCGGATGGAGCAGCACGTCCACAATAGAAGCCCGAGACGCTCCCCCCACGAATTTGTCTTATATTGGCTGGGAAGGCGAGAGTTTGGGAGTAATCAAGTCGAATCGCAGACCTGGCAGAGCCCAGATTTATCTTACACCTTCAAGGAACCAACAGCGTATTTCCACGTACATTGTATTGCAGGTGCAGAAGGCCAGTTTCCTCTTCTACTGCCTGCTTTTGGTGCTGCAAGCTGCTGCATTTCAAAGTCTGAGCTGTCCAGTGCCCATACTCAATATGATCCAATCCAAGGCATGACCTTTTTCAAGGAACCGCGGAAATATATCCCTATTCATCAACTCGATGCCCCTTTAGTTTCCACTGTGCCGGTTTCGCCGAATCCTCGGGGCAGCAACCGCAAGTAGCCAGCCTTGTGGGGCAGCGCCTCCTGCGCGCCCAGTGCTTATCCTAATGGCCAGCCATGGCGGAGCGGAAGGAGGAAGGAGGAAGCTGCAATGGGCGACGGCTAAGCGGCTTATCCTTGCGGCACAGGTTTGCAAATGGGGCACGGAGCAGGAGCCAATAATTTGGTAGCGATATTAAAAGGTATATACACCACTTGCTGGCTTGACCACTAAATACGCGCTTTTTGCTCTGATAAGCTCGAAATGGTATCTTCAAAATAAGCCGCATAGCTGCAATCGTGGCAATCGAGGTGCACATCGATTTACACATCTACGTTTGATCCAACAAATGTCCAGCCATCCAGCCATCCAGCCATCCAGCAATCCAGCAATCCAGCATGGCGGTGATTGCGAGACATGTACTTCGGTACTTCGGTTCGGGCGCAGCTGATGAAGATTTACTTGCCGTGTAGCTGACGCAGGATACAAGCTCGCTTTGAGGTCCTGTCCCGGATCCAAGCCCAACTAATTATAACTTTGGTGCAGTTCGTTCAAACCCTTTGAAGCCGTTGCGCGTGTAGTCGCGCTCGTCGTCAGTTTTGAAGCTGCCAAGGCTGCCAAGGACAACGGCGCTGTGGAAGGACCTCGCCCCCCGGTGGGCGGGGCGGCTGAAGTGGGTGTGGCACATCAGCTGGCCTGGCAGCTCGAGAACCGAGCTCTTTTAGGCAATTTCCCTGGCAAAATCATGTGCAGCCAAAGGCTTCGAGAGTCATTAAGCTTATTAAGTGGGCGAGCAGATAACCCAAATGAGTGCATGCCAAATGAAAGCCAACGCAATTTGCACTCATATCGCCTACGAATTCTTTGCACCGCGAAAAAACGAAACGAGTTCAGACTGCTGCTTGATAAATGAATTAGATAAATGAATCAACATTTTTCGACCCGATTGAATTAAAAGGAGTAAATAAATTCGCATTCTATTCACAATTACACGTATATTTGAAAAAACCGCATCGTAAATGTAATCGAATACCATCGTATTTTTTACAACCATTGGTATATTTATATTAAAAAAATGGTTGCTTTTTTCTTTAAACTCTTACCATATAGACCACCGTATTACATTTTTTAACATTTAAACCATTCATGGTGTTGAACTCAAAAAAAATAGACAGATAGTACAAGCTTCAGCATGGATGGATAGATGAGAGATGCATTATATATAAAGATAATGTTCTGTATTCATTCAGTGAATGAACAGTGAACGCTGAACACTTCTAAAGCAAGTTGGAACCACATTTTGTCCAGTGTTCTTATTCAAATAGCTCATACTCTGGGAAAAGTTTCCCAAGTGGCCGGAAAAGGGTCAGGAGGCGGAAGAGAAGACGGGAAAAGACGTGGGAAACCGGAAACGGAGGAGATAACAAACAAATTGCCAGTGCAATTGCATTCTTGAGATTATCGCCTGCCTGCGGTGGCCGCATTACTCGTACTTAACTTTGCTTAACTCCACTCTGGCTTACTTAACTTTGCTTCAAGTGCAGGGCAATAGGAGGCATTACAATGGCCTTCTTATCGCTGCTGTTGATGCAAAAATAATTCCCACTGTGGCACAAGAAACTTTTAATGGCTGCAAGAGGAGCACCGCCGTCGCTGACCACAATTAACCCGAACATCTTATGCCCGCCCGCTGTTACATTTTAATTTAGCCGCATACTCGATTACCATCTTTCGATACCGATTGGCGAGCACATACCTCAAAGCTAGCTGCTACACCACGCAGTACAGTACAGCCACGGTTTTCCTTAACACCTTCCGAACAACAGAAAGTATATATTTTGATATTCTTTTATATTCAGCATGATAACACCGGGCCAGGCCAAAGAACTCCATCCTCTTCGCCGACGGATGTGGAAGATGACCTCAGATGCGCTCAGATGCCCTAGTGCTGGTCCTGGCTACTGGTCAGTACGGTGTTAGTACGGTTGAGGTTCGGAGGAAGGGCCATCACTGAAAAGATATGTGGGAATATTTGTAGAATTAACATAATTCCTCGTGGGATCTGTTCACCTGATTGCGCTCTAGCTTAATTCGCTTAGCTGGCGGATCCCCATCTGGATTTTGCTCCGGCAGGAGCTCGGCTACCGCAGTTAGATTCCCAGTCAGATCGTCCAGGACGCTGATAAAACCATCAATTTTAATGCAGGATACTTCTAAATACTTCTAAACTAATCATTCGAACTCACCTTTGCAGCAAACTGATGCTGTCCAGGTTTGCTGGATTTCTATCCAGCACACTTTGCACCTTCCTTAGCATGATCGCGTTCATTATTCCCATCATCCTGGTCACGCGAACTTGCAACTCGCGGTCAAAGCCCAAGGCAGGTGACGGCGAATCCGGCGTCTGGGTAGACTGATCCACCAACTTCGGTGCAGACTGGGTCCCCATATTAGCCTTTTTATTCCTCAGCTCCGGTGTGCGGAACTCGTGGGGGGAAGAGGAAAGGGCTTCCTTTTTCCCGGCTGGGCCTGCCTTAGACTTGTTCTTGTTCGGCATATCGAAGTTCAGTCAAGGTTTGGATTCTCGAATATGGTTTCTCCGGTACGGGTTCTAGATGTGAACTGAATTTCCACGTGACTCGTCAAAAGCAACTGTCAAAAATTGGCGCGGTTAACTTGACTGAAAATTAACAGTGTGCAGTTATTTGGGCCTCTTTTCAGGATTATTTCGGTATACATTCGGAAAGTGTAATAGTATTTGATATACGTAAAATGTTATGCATATTAAGCTGTACGGGAAAGCTATGGAAATAAAACAGAGTGCCAACCCTATCCATCAGTGTTATCTGAATCCAAAAATTTTTAGATCCTTCCCCGTTTGACTGTTCTGCTCTTCAGGAACGCTAGTCTGCCAGACCTTTTTTAGAAGTCTTGAATCAGTGCTGCATTTCTAGCGCTAGATTCCAGAGTTAAGATCAGTTATATATATAACAGTTCCCTAAATGTGTATTCCCACTTTAAATAACCTTAAAAAACAATGCTAATCAAGAATTCTTGCGCAGTATATTCCTACATTCTACATTATTCGTTCTCACTAGTGCCGTGTAGAATGTAACATACGCAATAGTATTTTCGTCGAAGTCCAGTGCTGTGGTATACAGCTGTGTTTGAAATCTTAAATTCGAACGCGGTCACACTGAGCACGTGGGGAAGACACAGCAACTGAATTGACAAATTATTGGAAACAACGCAAAAGAATCAAAACAGATTGCACCATGGAGGCAGAGAATATCAAGGCGGATGCGTTCGAGCCGGCGAAGAGGGCGACCAAGCGCGGAGCCACCGGAGGCGGGCAGCAGGACGTGGAAATGCAGGTGGACGAGGCGACCGGCATAGAGGGCCAGGTGCTGGGATCTTCGCGAGCATCGGCACCGCCCAAGGCGAAGAGGGCCAGGAGCGAGCTGCGCAAAGTGTCCGTGCCGCCACACAGGTACTCCTCGCTGAAGGAGCACTGGATGAAGATCTTCACGCCCGTGGTGGAGCACATGAAGCTGCAGATCCGCTTTAACATGAAGGCGCGCCAGGTGGAGCTGCGTGTGGGCCCCGAGACCCCGGACATTGCCAACCTGCAGCGCGGCGCGGATTTCGTGCGCGCCTTCCTCTGCGGCTTCGAGGTGGACGACGCCCTGGCCCTGCTGCGGCTGGAGGACCTGTTCGTTGAATCGTTCGAGATCAAGGACGTGAAGACGCTGCGCGGCGACCACCAGTCGCGCGCCATTGGCCGTCTCGCCGGCAAGGGCGGACGAACCAAGTTCACCATCGAGAACGTGACCAAGACCCGCATCGTGCTAGCCGACAGCAAGATCCACATCCTGGGCAGCTACCAGAACATTCAGCTGGCGCGTCGAGCCGTCTGCAACCTGATTCTTGGTTCGCCGCCGAGCAAGGTGTACGGCAACCTGAGGGCAGTCGCCTCGCGCCTCTCGGAGCGCATGTGATTGGGATTGGAGTTCAGAGGGATTAGTTGCGGTTTTTTTTTAGCATTAGCAATAAATAATAAATATATTAACATGTATTCATACATTTACAATATACACACATAGACACGGGAATGAGGTCGCCCAACTGGAAGCGGGTGGGTAACTAGAGCTTGGTCAGGATGAGCAGCAGCAGCATGAGGAAGGTGGCCGCCGCCAGGACGAGGATGACGCACATCTTGCGGTTCTTGCGCTGGTACATTTCTGCCTTGTGCAGCTGGCGCAATCCCTCCGAGACGCGCGTCTGCGTCTGCTCCACGTTGTAGTCGATGCGATCGAGCACGGTGCCCTGCTCCTGGACCATGTGCCCCAGATCCTTGAAGATGTCGTTCAGGTCGTAGATGGACTTGACTATCTTGGTCACCTCCTGCTCGCGGTGCTGCGCCACACGCGTGTTCTCCTCCTCGAAGAGCAGCAGCTGCTGTTGGGTCATTCGGCTGGCCGGCGGCCTCTGGAAGTGATCGTCGATGGCCTGCTCATCGTCCTCAAACAGATAGCCGTTGCTGGTCTTGCCCTCCGACGGCGGCTGCAGGAAGTTGTCGAAGGAGTCGACAAAGTTCTCAACGCTCTGCTCGCCCAGCTCCACGTTGGTGAAGACGTCGCCAGCGCCGCCATCGTCGAAGTACTTCTGCGAGCGCTCCTCGCGGGAGTTCAGCTGGAGCAGGTAGGCGTTCTGGCTGGCCCGGAACTTCACCGTCAGCTCCTGCAGCTGGAGCAGGGCGCAGTGCACCGCGTTGGCGGTCAGGCACTGCTCCATTTTGCTGCCCACGCCGATGCTGCTGCGCACGCACTGGATGTGCCGGTGCGTGGAAGTGATCAGCTTGGAGACGATTTGGCTGAGCACCTCGATGTCGCACTCGTCGTCCTGCTGATCATCGAAGGCGGGTCGCAGGAGGTGGCGGGCGTGCAGGGAGCCCAGCTCATCCAGCTTCGGCTTGATCCTGCAAGGGAGTGATGAGAGTGAAATGTAAGACTGCACACGACTGACGGTTTACCCACTTGGACATGGTGTACTGTGCCTCCTCGAATTTGTCCAGCCAGGCGGGCGGCGTGCCGTAGTCGTCCTGCAGCTCCAGTCCCTCCTCCGCCTCCCGCACCGAGTGCTTCAGCAGGCGCTCCGCATCGCTGCCCCTCTGGAAGCCGGAGAAACCCAAAACATATGCTAGGTGAGACCAACGGAGACCCCAAATGCGGACTCACCCGATCGTCGTAGTGACTCCGGTTTTTGGACGCATTGTTGCGCATGATGACGAACACCTCCGTCAGGTTACGCGACGTCATCCTGGCCGTCTGCTCCCGATTTCTTGGGGATTGGGAGGAATTATCCAAGTCCGCTGAAATCCCAATAAGATTTTTTCCAATTTGGTTTTGACACAGCTGTGCAGTGTGCCCGCTGCTTTTTTCGCCCAGAATACCGACACTAGTCCCGACAGCCTCCACGACGAACTGGTCACACTGGCGTGAAGGAACCGTTACCTTTCCTAGTTGTATACATTTCAATATAAATATATATATCTTTTATATTATTTTATATTTGATATTTGATATATATATTTATCCAGCACTTCACCGCGAATTGATGGAGATGAGTCTCACATATACTACATTTATATACTCTTCATTAGCATCAACAGCCCATCCAATTAATCTTGTCCGTTTATACGTGCTTGAAACTTTCGCAAAAGTATGAGGCAATAATTAATAATTTAATTTAATTTAATTTAATTGTGATTGAACTATCTAATAAATTATAACTTTATACAGAAAATAACATCGGATAATTAAAAATACCCAGGATCAACTAGTAAGCGAGATAATTGCTAAGTTCCAATTCAAAGCTAATACTTCACCCCAAAACGCACTAGAAAAGTGGCTTGAAAGGACTTCAGGGAACTTATTGTTCGTTCGGTTTTACGTTTCTAATAGCCAGTATCAACTGTATTGAGTCGCAATCAGTGACGAAACCGTGACTCAAAACTACCGAAAACTATCGCCAGGCAAAACATATCGATGGCGTGCACCCCTGATATCGATTACTTGATGGCTGTGACAGCTTGCACCTCCCCCTGATATCGATTGCCATCAAACAATTTTATTTCATTTTAAAATAATTCCTTGATTTCAATTCCTATTGTACTGGCAACTGGCACGTCCAATAGCCATTCGAAAGCAGCAAGTGCGGATATCGGAGAGTGCGAGTGCGGGTGGAAAAGTCCGGATGTCATAACTCCGAGCGGAGCAACGAAATGTTCAGTGCGGACAAGGATAACAACGCATTATCCTGATCCTGAACGCCCGAGTGCAGTTGTGTGTGTGCGTGCGCGCGTGTGCGTGTGTATAGTGTGTGTGCCAGTGACGACATTGACCCGTCCCCGCCCCCGCCCCCACCCGCGCACCAACCCACCACACCACCCCCCTTGCGGGGGAAAATGTGCCATGCCATTGCCGTTGCTGTGGTTGTGGTCGTGTTCGTTTCTAGGCTGAGTTCGGCGGTGGAGCATTAGGGTCGACAACGCCGAGACAATAACATGTTCAACCGCCAGGCGAACGGAGGAGTTGGATCCAGTGGCCAGGGTGCTGGCACCAGCCAGTCCGCTGCTGCACCACCAGTTTCCGCGGGAGTAGGGGGAGTTGCCAGTGTAGCAGCGGTAGGAGCGAGCTCCGCGGCAGGATCTGGATCCGGATGCGGATCAGGTTCCACATCAGCAGCACCGCCCAGCCATTCGCCCGATCTCTACCTGCGCCCGCTCCCGTTTCTGGACGCCAAGTGGCTGCGCGCCGATCTCATCGCCTCCCTGCGCAACGCCGCCGACGGCGCCGTACTGTGGAACCATCTGATCCAGGACTGCGAGCTGGTCTCTTCGCCCACCGCGCCGCTCCTTAATGCCCGCGGCCAGCTATCCTACCTGGGCGACGATGGTAAGCACTACTGTGGAGCTCAGCAGCTCAAGTGCTCCTGCTGCCAGCCGGAGTACTGCGGCCCGCTTTCCGCCTGCAACTGCGACGGCTGCCGGCCTCTCGACTCGGACACGGCCATCAAGAAGCTCACCACCCAGGCCGCCGCCCAGCAGGCAGCCCATCTCAGCCAGGCCACCGACATGGTCCTCAGCGGCTGGCTCTGGAGCCAGCCACCGTCGCAGCAGGCGCGCCTGGATTGCCAGCGTTCCATGATCTCGGAGCTGCAGGAGCTGGCCCTGCGCGCAGCCGGCAACTGCCTCTCTGCTCAGCATCTTCGCCAGCAACTCTTCGTCTACGAGCGCTACTTCGTAGCCCTGAAAAGGGAGAGGGAACGGGAGTGCCAGCCCACGACAAGCGCACAGGCGGTGGTCAGTGTCACCACCGCCAATACCAGCATTGCCGCCACCACCACCATTTCTGCAGTGGAGTCACAGCCGCCGGAGCAGCCGGAGCATGGAGCACTAGGCTTGGCACGCGTAGCCACCCGCGCCGCCCTCAACTTTAGCTTCGCCTTCCTGCGACGCGCCTGGCGCTCAGGTGAGGACACGGAAATGTGCAGCGAGCTGCTTAGCGAGGCGCTGGCTTCTCTGCAGGAATTACCTGAGGCCACGCTCTTCGATGCAGCCGTCGTCTCCTCGCTCTGGCTGGAGGTCATGGAGCGATCCATCAAGTTCCTGCGTCTGGTGGCGCTCGGTGATCCGATGGGCGGTCGCTGTACCGCACCACTAAACGATCGCCACACGGCGCTGTGCCTTCTGCTGGAGCTGGGCGTGCAGAAGGGTACTCTGGCCGCAACGCTCGAGTGCGTCGTCCTGCTGCTGTTGCTTTGGGAGAAGGACCGTGCGGGCAACGACAATCGGGACATGCCACGCAAGACGGGCGCCCCGCTGCAGCGCATCCTACTGCGCTACCAAAAGATTGGAACCACGACCAAGGGAGGTGGAATCGCCGGCGCAGAGTCTGCTCCAGTTGCCAGTGCCACGGAGACCTTCCTTCGTTTTCTCTCGCTGCCCAAGAGCAGTGCGGCCATTGTCGACCTTCGACGCGCCGCCGTCGTCATCATTTCTCATCTGGACCGCATGGTGCAGCCGCTGATGCCGCGCTGCCTGCTCCGCGGTGGCCAAGCGACCGCAGCATCATCCAGTACGACACCACAGCAGCGGATCTACGCCTTGGGCTGGCCATCGCTCTCCAAGGATCAGCAGGGATTTAGCGCTGAGCCGACGCTCAGCTGGAGTGGAGAATCCACGGCAGTGCCAACGCTTAGCTGCCGCTTCCAGATCAAGCAGGTGGCCTGCTGCGAGACGCAGATGCTCATCCTTAGCCAGGAGGGTAAGCTGTACACCTGGCGCCTGGCCAAACCGGAGGCGGAACCGCTGCCCATGGAGGAGGTCGCCCACGAGGTGTTCATCAGCATCGCCGGCCACTGTGAAGGTCGCCACTTTTTGGCCATTGACAGCAACCGTAAGTGAATTTCAATCGTTTTTTTTTTATGGCGAAAAGTGTAGCACACTTTTCCGCGTTGGTGGAGGTTTTATGTCTGTTAAAATGTTAATAGTTATAAACCTAATGCCGTTCCTCAAATTTGTTGCAGACAACGCCTACTCCTGGGGCACCGGCGAAGATCACCGCCTGGGCCATGGAGACACCCACGCCCGAGCCGTTCCAACCAAGATCGCTGCCCTGGAGCAGCACTGTGTACAGTCGGTCTACTGCGGCTGCTCGTACAGCGCAGCCATCACCTGCGGCGGAAATCTGCTGACCTGGGGACGCGGCACCTATGCTCGACTGGGCCACGGGAACAGCGACGATCGCAGCCTGCCCACCCTGGTGGTGGCCCTATCCGACCACATGGTGGTAGACGTGGCCCTGGGCAGCGGCGACGCCCACTCGCTGGCGCTCACATCCGAGGGACTGGTGTTCGCCTGGGGCGACGGAGATTACGGCAAACTGGGCAATGGTAACTGCAACGGCAGCCTGCAGCCGATCCTTGTGGAATCGCTTCCCCGAGTGCAGCGCGTCTTTGCGGGCTCCCAGTTCTCGTTGGCGCTGAGCAGCGAGGGTCAGCTGTATTCGTGGGGCAAGGCCACCTGTTTGGGCCACCAGTTGGTGGAGCGCAGTGTCCAAGGGTGCAGTGTTCCACGTCTGGTTAGCAGCTTGCAGGTGAGCAATCGCCAGGTACCCCGTTATCCTGCCACCGTATCCTAACTCTTGGTTTTTCCTACAGCACAAACGCATTGTGGACGTGGCCGTGAGTGTGGCACATTGTCTGGCGCTCTCTAGCAGCGGGGAGGTATTCGGATGGGGCCGCAACGACAGTCAGCAAATTTGTCCAGCCTCCGTGTCCAGCGAGCCTTTGTTGCGAACGCCCATTCTTGTGTCATTACCCACGTTTCCGGCCAGCGGAATCGCCTGCACCAGTGCCCAAAGTCTTGTGTGGACCCAGAGCTCCCACCAGGGTGTACCGCGGCGCGCGCCCTTCGTCGTTGACTTGGGCGAGCCTACGTTCCGCCTGCTAGACCAGCTGCTGGGCATGTGCAGCAGCCAGGACAACCGGCAGACTCCGAACCAGGAAAGCGAGTGCATCGCCGTGGCCTGCCTAAATCTGTTTCGCCTGCAGCTGCTCGCGCTCATCGCCAACGGGGTAGAGCCGCGCCAGGTGGGCCTGGCTAGTGGCAGTCGCCTTCTCTGTAGCCTCAAGACTCGAATCCTTGGATTGGCCGGCGGCAGCCAAGTGCTACGCACAATCCAAGTGGCCGCACAACAGGCATTGCAGGTACTTAAGTTGGGCACATCCAATGTGCTTCATACTAATAACCTATCCTTGATTTTGCACCATAGGATGGATGGAGTGTCCTGCTGCCCACAGCAGCGGAACGTGCCCAGACGCTCACTTCGCTGCTGCCGTCGGAGCCCGGGCAGGCGTCCTCCGCTGGTCACCGCTTCATGACGGACCTCCTAGTCAGCTCCCTGATGGCCGAGGGCGGCTTAGAGTCGGCGCTGCAGCACGCAATCCGTATGGAGAGCAGCTCCTGCTCCGCGGACTGCGGCGACGGAGTCCACTTGCCATTGCTGCAGCTGATCACGCGACTGCTGAGCAACAACGCCGCGCTGTCCCAAACGCGACTGTCTCCCACGCTGGGCAAACAGCAGGAAAAGGAGGAGGAAGAGCGCGAGCAGCAGCACCAGGAGCCGAGCACCAGTCCCAGCTTGAGCCTGCTCCACCGCTTCCAGCGATTGCTGCTGTCCCACATACACCAGGCACAGCCAGAGGAGGAAACAACTGGCGCCGAGGCGCTGCTGTTGCAATACATGCACGCGCTAATCCCCGCCTGCGTTGCCACATTACAAAAGGCCCATGAATTGGCGTTGCAATGTCGGGAGCCGGGTGAACATTCCTTTGGTCAGATGGTAGGCCATCTGGGCCGCGTCCTTCAGGCGGATGTATCGGACGCTTTACTGAACGAGTTGGTGGTGGGCCTG